GTAGGGCAATAGAATATACGGTCTGTACAGTAGAAAAAACCATTACACCTATGGAGAGTCCCCACAAGGATAGCAAACCAGACATGTGTGTGTGTGTGTGTGTGTGTGTGTGTTTCATGACAATAGTGGCTAACACGTCAATTACCACAGTTTTAGTTTTTGGCTAATCATGCCTTGCTGCAAGCTCTGTTTGGGGACATAGTAGCTGGTTTGTTGTTGGTGCAAAATGGTCTATCAGCAAATTTACATCTTGTTCCAGTTGTATAGTTTCATGACACAAATGCTGCATCTTAGAATCTTGTATCTTAGTTATATTTGCAACATTGTTGATTGTGCTTGAATATCATATCCTTACTGTGTAACATAGTATGCATTTGCATTAACATGTTAAAGGAACTAGTAATAACTTTTGAGTGATGTGTGTACTGATTGTCTGACCATGTTTCTGTACTATGACTTCAGTTTTCACACCCCATTGACTTTGATGTTCAGTAACGCCCATGTGGCACTGGCATGTTGTTTAACACCATAAAAACATGCGATTCTACATGTGGGTTGCTTCCTTATGAAAAAGAAACCATGATACTAAACTAGAATTTGCAAATGGAATTTGTTACTTTCTATGAACCGAACTGGTCATGGTGGCATACCGTGCAACAGAAATAACAGGATGCGGAAAATATCTTTTTGCATACAATAAAAAGATTTGCAAACTCGGTATGCACATTTTGTCTCTCTGAAATGTTTGTGTAGAGTATCCAACGGTGGCCTTGTGCCCTGATTGGGTGGATTGTCCATTTATATCACCCTGCCTGAACAAACATGAATCATGTCCTTGATAACGGAGAAAGACACATTACAGGATATGATTTGGTTCAGCAGGAAAGAAACAGGAAATGAGCACTGCTACTTTTTTTCATCTCTACTTCACCTTTCCAGTGTCTGCTGATCCACTATTGGCTGCTGGTTACCATGGTTACAGGCAGACAGCTTCATTTTTCTGTCTTTCGCAGACCGCACTGGCACATAATGTGCCTCACAAATCATATGAGGTTTGAGCGGAGGCAGACCGCTTGACTTGCTGTTGTCACAATAAATGTTGTGGTGGCTCAATACAAGCGATCTTTCAAAAGAACCAGGAGGAATTTTGTCAGTAACTGACTGATGCAAAGGTCTGATGTCAACATGCATTGCTTATTTGTAGAAGCATTTGATCTGCATAACCACTAACTTGTTTCTCTGTCGTTATAGGCCCGTAGCATTAAAACCTCCGTCATCGCAGCTATTAAAGTGGTCAAACTGGACCCTGGTAAAGTAAATTCAGTTTAATGCTGAATTATTCACTGCAGCATCTGAATTTCTGCTCTGTCTTTTAATCCTTGTGAATCCTGCTGTTATGTTGAGGTGTTACTGATAGCGAAGTAGAATTACAGACGAGACCTCTGTTTCTTTTTCTGTCAGGTGATGACATCTCAAGCATTCAACATGAAATAACCATGATGAAGGATTGCACTCATAAAAACATCGTGGCCTATTTCGGCAGCTACCTCAGGTCAGTCACGCAAGAAACTAATACTGCAGTTTGCAGAAAACTGAAGTAAAACTAACAACGAACTTCTTCATATTGCACAGAAATAACAAGTTATGGATCTGCATGGAATTCTGTGGAGGAGGATCATTGCAGGATATTTATCATGGTACAATTGGCATATATCTAATATTTTACATTAATGTATATAATTTCAATTACTGTACATAGATGTTGCTGAAAATAGTCAATTAATATATCAATTATTTTTTGCTTAGTTTATTGGATAAAAAAAGCTGAAGCCATGATGTTTAATGGGTTCAGAAGCAAGCCTTCAAATATGTTGTATCTGTATGAAGGGTGATGCAGTTTGAGGTGGTTTCTGTTGTTATTTATATAGCCTGATAGAGGATTAATGCTCATATGGTGTTTTGTGAGTCTAAATGAGGTCATTGTGTTTCTGCAGTCACTGGTCCTCTGAAAGAGAGACAGATAGCTTATGTGAGCAGAGAGACACTTCAGGTGAGGATGCTTTCACATCTTGCATAATGTTTTTTTCACTTGAGGTTCACGGGGTAATCAGAAGGGATTTCAGTTATGTTATTTTTAAATTATCCTAGTAATTTTTTGTTGTATTCTTTCCTT